AATTTGAACAAGCTTTGACTAAAATAAAGACAATCATGAATTAATTTGTACCTAAAATATCTCTGGGGCTCAGATTTCTTGTCCAAATTATTCCATTATGTATTTTTGCAAAATAAACCTACCAAATAGGATGTGGCATTCTGTAGATCTCGTTGCCCCTTGTATGATCATTATCTACGCTGTCTTTTTTCTCGGCTCCTGCTTTGAAATGTTTTAAATCCTTTTGTCTTGAGACACCAGTGGTCGATAGTAAACGAACCTGAAATAAAAAATGAATAAAAAATGTGTATAAAAAGAAACTTCTCGTTTCCCTTACAAAACAGGATAGGATTTGAGAGGGATTTGACCCGATATCTGTGGGCAAACACCACTATGCGGCCATATCTGTAGAAAAGACTGCAGTTGCAGTTGTTTTACCGGCATTTAATAACCGTGAACTTTCTGCATTATTCCTAGCAGTAAGTTGTAGATATAACTTTTACAACGAAAAAAGCTGATGCACAAATAATGTAAGTAACTTCAACCATATTTCCATTCACTTTAACAGTTCAACCTCTTTGCAACAAAAGTGCGTCATGATCATCATAATTAAGCTTATGTTTTCGTCATTTCACACCAAATAAACATGTCTGGGAATTTCGCCCTGCAATGGGGCTCATGCAAAAAGAACCAAAACAAAAACAAAAAAAGTTGCCGACCACTTAAGTGACGATAATCAGTTCAACGTTCGCTAATATACTGTATGCTAGCGATTTCGACACAATAATAAAGTTCTTATCTTATCCAACTTGTAGAGCTTACAGTGCATGAGTTGGACAATGGAGTTTCCAACAACAGTCCGCCATCTTGAAGCGCCCTAAACCCTGGCAAAATACGCCGATTCAAGGACGACTTGAGAGCGAACAGGATGGTCGGAGAGAAAAACTGTCGGGTCTTCGTGGGAAGCATTCCACCGCGCACAGTGGGGACAACGATTAGTCAGCGAGAGAGAAACTCGAATTTAACATCGCCACCATCGGGTACTGCGTAACTGCATTGACTAGTTCCTAGGCTTCTCTAATCCAGAGGACGTCACGCTAAAGGAAACTGTTTAACACGCGATTATTAAATTTCATTACCATTGTCCGCTGGGTTCCTTATCCTTGGTTCAAATTTCATTTTACTTTCCACTAAGCACACATCAAGGATGTAGTACGAAATATTATCTGGTACAGTGGTAACACTAATCCGTCCACCACAACTTTTTTAAGGTTTGTGACTTGTTTTATGGCCACTTGAGAAAGTGTGAAGAGTTATTTAGGATCAGTCTGGAGTACTAAAGTGACAAAGGAACAAGAGCAAAAAGGGAAATGATTAAGTTGAAATCCACTGACTCTCCATGTTATCTTTAGCCAGCCACTTCAAATTACATTTGTTTCCACCCAGGGCTTTAATTTGTCAAATATGGACTACCAATAATTTAGCTTGGTTGGTAGAAATCTGATGACCACACAAAAGAAATATGGTAAGCACCTTTACTGACATGACTAAACATTTTAATAGACAAAAGAAATCCTATCACATAAGAATAATCATTAAGTCTAAATCATATTACATAGTCATTGGAACACCAAATTTACACTTTTTAATCAGAATCAGTCCTATGACTCCTTCAAAATTACACTTCAACTAGTTGAACTAATTATGGAAACTACAAAAACATTGCACAACAACAGCATAAATGTTACATGCTAACTCTTACAAAAAAATTATCTAATTGAGAATATACTTTGGAATAGTGTGCGAGTTCTAAAGTGGGTATTTTAACCCAACACCAGAGAATTGTACTACTTCTAGATTTTTTAAGCAGCACAGATGACATAAAAAAGTAATCAAACACACAATCTATTAAGTCTTGAGATTACAACAGTGAACTTTGTTAAAAGCTGCATGTTGATTTTTGAAAAGAACTCTTTCAGTCTAACACTAGTGGTCATAACATGCTTTAAATGTAAATTTCTTGGGACAGTAATTAAATAAGACTACTATGAAGTGATCAACTTTGAAACTTTTCTCACACAATTGTTGGTATACTTAAACAAAATAAGAAACCAAATCTTGATTGAAAAAAGTCAAAATTGACTGGGAAAAGTATTATTTGAGAGCATAGACCTCAAAGAAATTACTTCCTGAAGCATCTGATTAACTTGAAGCTTCAAGGCCTGGTTTTCCTGCTCTAACTTTGATGCTCTCACAAACAATGAATTATTTCTTTCTTTCCTTGCACGACGAAACTTTCTTGAAGCCTGGTTGTTCCTTATTCTCTTGTCTGAAACTTCATCACTGCAAGAACTTCCAACTGATGAAGGAGAATCTTGGGAGACATCAAATAGTGCTCCTGCTGCCTCCCCATTCAGCACATCTGAATGCTTAAGTGTTTGTTGCTCAATCATAATGAAAGCTTTGCTTTCCACCTCCCTTTTGCCACAAATATCCAAGCCAACATTCTGTGCTCCGACATAAATGTTATCAGGTTGGTCAATTCCACCAAATTTTTCTTCTGGACCAGTCCAGTTGTTGATGGTCTCTTCACTCTTAAGCAACTCCACATCTGCCATCCAAGACTCCTCCAAACAGTGTCCCTTGCTTCTCTCCCCTGGTATGAGCTTCTCAAGTTCAGCCACTTGGTCAAAAAAAAGTTCTCCGGGATTTGCCTTGTTCCAATCTGGAACAGAATCAACAGACCAAAGGCTGTCACCTTCATCTGGAACTGAAGTCTTGGGAAGATCACCTTCAGTTTTTGGGGAAGCAAGGTCATAAACCCCTACAGAAAGGTAAAGATATGTTACCGCTTTGAACTGTTAATAACACAACTTCCTTGAGATAAGGTATTCACTGGTCCTCATTAACCCCTAACTTGGCCCAATTTCTATTTAAAACACTTTTGGGTTAAAATGGTATTTCACTCTTTACAAAAACAGAAAAAATGAACTGATATACAGTTAAGAATTAAATAATGATAACAATAATAAAATATATGACTTGTATGGTTTTCTTTCTACAGAGTACCAAACAGTGTTTTAAATAAGTAAGTAACATAATATCAACACAAAACTTTTATAGAAGAAAGTTCTTAAGCAACAAAGTTTCAAACAATATAAACAACAAAATAATTATATAACATATCAAATATAGAAACGTTTAAAAGGAAAGGTCTTAATGTTCGATTTAAAAGTATCCAATAACTTGCAAAAAAGTCCATATCTATTCTGGTTGAGAGATTTACAGATGCCATTTATGAATATGTCCTTTGTCCGTGTATCTCAGGTTAAAAGGTAGGTGTCACAATAGGAGAGCAAAGTTCTCGGAAGAACAAATAGCGATGAAAGTTTAAGTAATAAATGGGGAAAATTAACTAACTATTGCTGAAAGACACGAAACGATCTAATTAATCAGTTAAAAGTTTGAAAATAGCACTTAAGAGGGGGTATATCAGAGAAGTTCGCCGTATTTCAAGATGATGAGTTGGTTGTTTCCCGAGTTAGTTGTAAAACACCGATTGGGCCGAGAAATAGGACTTTCGTTCAGATCGATCGTCAAAATGTGTGCCACTATCAACATCAAAAGTCCTTTCAAAAGACTTAGTTAAAAATCTAACAGGTGAAACTTCAAACTTCAGAGCATTTCCTGTAAACAATTTTTGCGATGTTATCAAGAGATTGATCTAGTGTTCCTGTAGTTCACTTCTTCGGAAAGCATGCAAAGTCCAGAGACAACAAAGGAAAAGTGGCCGTTTACGTATAATTAAATCTTACCAGTGTCAAAGACGAGGCTTGGATTCGTACAGAGGCGACGCACAGAAAGTATAGCCGCTAGTAACCGGCTTTTCCACGTGGCGGTTGGTGAGGGGAACTTCAGCCGCCATGTTGTCTTTCTTGGTCAAAGCAACTACTCCTTTACACTTCCCTTTTGGACGTCCAGCAGAACTCTTCAGATGCATTCTCGTAAAGTAATCGATAAAACCAGAAAATTCGACCTTAGCTAGAGCCAAACCGTGAACAAATCGTTTAGGAAGAGGAATTTATCTCCTAATAATCAAGGAATGGCGCAACACCGAAACGACAAAAATGTGTGCCACTGGTGCGAGATTAGTTTCGCACTGCATGATGGACTTACAGCTAACACATAGGCATGCAGTGTGTGCAAGCAACACAACGTACTTTACCACAGGGAAAACTTTCTTGGTTATTGTGAAGTATTGGTACATACTATACTCTCACGACTCTTTAAGGCCAGTCATAAGAGAACGTCTGCCAAATGTGTTTCACATCCGCACAGGTGTTTTACTGCTTATGTTGCAAGTGTTTCAGAAACAAGTAGCTGGTGAAAACACTGTCCGCTGGTACTTTTAAAGAACACTGTGCATATTGTGTGGCTCCAGATCTGATGCACAAGATGCTATAAGGTCTATAGGAATTCCAAAGAAGAGCAAAATTGTTTCTGAGTAAACACAAGAACAAAACCGAATCGAAAATAGGTGAGGTGTATTCATGAACTGAAAAACCCTATGCAGGATAAAATAATTTTGACGAGCCAGCAATCAAGTTTCAGACTTTCCTCCCTTCTCTTTCCCTGAGCCTTAAAAGATAAGTCAGAAATGTTGAGTCTGAAATAAAACAGTTAGACTCACCAAAAAAGTTGGAGCATCAATCTTACTGTAAGATTAAATGATTTCCCTGTTTTTGACCCAATTGTTTAAACGGGAAGGGATCCTGATCAATGGGAAGCCATCCTGACTAGACTGAAGAGTATCGTTTTTTCTTCTAACATTTTATCTTTTTATTTTTGAAGCAGTTTCATTTTTATTTTCCAACCTCTTTTATTCATTACTATGAATCTGAAGCAAAGGACAGTAAAAATCAAAATCTCTTGAAAAAATTTTAAACCAAGAAAAAATATCCAAGTCAAACAACCTCAAACAAAAAGTAGGATTCCGTTTCACAAAGAAAATGTAGAAAGAGTAAGTTAAGAAAACACATCTTTAATCTTTTAACACAACTTGGAATAATATGACCTTGTAAGTTTTGATTCACAAAACGTTGCAAAAAGACAAAAATATTTTGAAATTACCACAGAGGAGGCAGAATTTGTTTCATTAATTGTTTATCTGTGATGTTCTTCACAAAACACAAAATAAAATAAAACTCTTCTTCCTTAGTTTTTTTCAATGTCAATCTTTGGTATCAGCAGTAAGTACTTCAACACCAGAATCTGTTATCAAAACAGTGTGTTCGAACTGTGCCGTCCTGAGAGAGAAAGAGACGGAAAAAAATTATACATGAAAAATGAGAAGTTTAAAAATGACAATACTGTCTGTCTGCATTGGAATGAGCTAACAGATAACACTCGTCTCAACATCCACTGAAGAAACAACAAGGATGTTAGAGTAGCTTTCCCTCATCAGTATTCGCAGGACATATTTTAAGGCATAAAGTTGTTGTTTGTAGTCCTTCATCTTTTCCAACCAGTTGCATTAATCTTAAGTAAGAATTGAAATGATGCTTTGCCATGGTACATTTTTGACCTTTTCATTTCTTGAATTTGGTAAAAATTCCCCACAAGCAAACCCTTGATCCTGACTTATACTGGCCTAGAATGGTTCCTCAAGCCCCTTAAGCTCCTGAGCCTTCAAACTTGAAGTAGCACAATTTTCAGCTAATAGTTATTCTTCTGCAGCGCGCCACATGAGGACAAATGTAACTGAATTGTATTCATATATCACTAACTATTACGCCTGATTGAATAAAAACTGGTGTACTCAACCTTTTACCATCCTTTGTGACAACAGTCCAACCATCTCCTAGGATAGCTATTTTTGGAGATCCCTCACAAAGGACAGGTTCTGAATATTAACAAATACAGCAAGTGGTTTGAACCCGGGGGTAACATTTAATAGTGTAGTTTGGGTCGTCTGGGTGAGTGTAGTCCTGAGAAGGACTGTTGTCGATAGTCCTTAACGGACTAAACACTGACATACAGTTTACTACCTGGTAAGCCGTGACGATAACTCACTATGGACAACAGTTTACAAGAAACCGACACATACCGACAAATTACTGGACGAGTTGTCCTACAACCCGACATCACGCAAAGCCACAACTATCAGGACTTTTACGCGACGAGCGCAACTAGTATGCAACACGACGGACAGCTTATCCGACGAGAACAAGTACCTTGACCGCGTTTTTTCAAAGAACAACTACAACGAAGACTTCATCCAACGTGACACTCACCGACCTACTACTACTACCACCGCTAACAACAACGCAACTCTTACAATTACAGTAATCATACCGTACATAAAGGGCATATCTGAGAACATCTCGCTCATCCTACAACCATTCAATATCCGCGTCGCTCACAAAACCTATTACCACACTACGTCAGTTATTGACTAACGTCAAAGACAAAGACGAACCGAGGAACAGACAGGGAGCAGTAATTGCAGTGTATAAGATCAATTGCTCCGACTACCACGCCTCTTACATCGGTGAGACTGGTAGAAACCTTACAACTAGACTAACTAAACACAAACGAGCGACGAGGAAAGGCGATGTCAACAATCACATTGCTGAACATCACCAACTTACGAACCACACTATTGACTGGGACTCTGTGCAATGCGTAACCTACAGCACCAACTACTTTTAACTACTGACCCTATAAAGCTGGTCGACTCACTTGGAACAGATTCCCCTCAACAGGTGTCAACCACTACCGGCATCATACAAACGACTCATTCATGACATTTACATTACAGACGAACCGAATAGAACGATCCAACTTCACTAACAGATCGAGACCGACCAATCACGAACGACCTACGCCACTCGAGTTTTGCAGCCAATAAAATCACGGCAAAACTGAACAATCAGTTTATGCAAACCGGACTAAGAACATTCGACTAACAACATCTATTCACTTGACTCTGATGATGACTTCCGCTGAGGTTGTCGACACGTCAGTCACCACTACCGACAACAATCCTTCTCAGCACTACACTCACCCGAACGATCAAACTACACTATTAAATATTAACAAAGTTGCTAAATTTAATGAAATGAAAGATACATTTTCACATATACGACCTTTATAATTAGGCAGCATGCTAATGAAAACATTTCTCTTGTGGCTGCCTTAACAAAGTCCCACTAGCAAAAACTCTCACCTACACCTTTTCTTCGTGCATAATCATTCTTGTTAAGTGGTCAGCTCAAGCTATTATGCTTTGATCTGCACCATGAGAAAGTCTGAGAGCACCAGGGATACTTGAGCTAAGAAATCAATACTTGAATAGTAGTGCTTTAGAAAAGGCAAGTAACAGGTAACCATGCCAACTGTCAGTTTGGGCTTAACAAGGTCTACCTTAATGAGGTTCTTGCCAGGTAATATTATACCTATTCATAAAATAGCTGTTTGATAGTCAAGATATTTACCAATAGTAAATGTCATGCCTGGTCCCATTTTCCCAGGTTTATAATTTGCTATTGTGAAAAGAAGAGGAAGAGAAGAATATGAGAAATTAAAGCCTTACATTTCATACAAAATTTTAACCTTTTAAATGAGATTCCTGGGGGAGGAGTAAAATTTGATGAAACTGCAATAAAAGACACGTTGTACTGCCTATCTAGCTTACTGGATTCCTTTAAAAAAAAATTGATATCCAAGTGGCATCCAGTTTTCCATTGGTAATAGTGCATACTGCCTGGAGGCTGAGCCAAGAACAATAAAGCTTTAAGATTGTTGGTTTTATCAAATGATCTAGGAAAAATATGAATCAACAATTTTTTTCAGTTCCTGTGTGAAAACCTATGGGGATCTCATTTTGAAGAGGAAGGTAAATAAAAATAACCGGAATCATAACTTTGGAGTTGTGCATGCTTACAAGTACTGCAAACCTGTATGCAAAATTTCTGGAGGTCCATGAAAGTATGATCCAATACCATGACCTGCTAAATTGGGACAAACTGTGAATCCATCCTTCCCAGCCACAGATCTAGAAGCAAATCAAACTTTCCTGATGAAAGAGCCCTAACAAACAAAAACTATTACCAGACACAAACATTACCAACATTAGAGATGAAAATGTATGGCAACATTCTCCAAAAATAGCCAAATTTAGTTGTTCTACTTACTCAATTGTGTTTCCAATCAACGAAAACCGTACTCCAGGTTTACAGATATTGATTGCAGCATCAAGACTACGCTGACAGCTTTCTAGTAATCTCTGACCCTGTTTGTCAACAGAACCAACTACATATGTTGCGCACAAGTCACCATGCATACCACCAATGAAGACCTGAAGAAAACAATTACAAAAAAAGGAACACAGGAGTGTTACATATCATACAGGAAAATAAAAAAAGGAAGTTTTGTATTGAAACTTTCCTATAAGACATGATTTAAGCCTCTGTGTATTGATTATTACATTCACAAATCAATAACAGTCACTGTGATAAACTGGTCTTTTGCTTGAATGCGAGAGAATTTGGAGTATTGCTGTCATTTATAAAAAGGCTAAATATTAACATGATTGACTTTTGCAAAGAAATAGTAACATTTCCTCTGAGACAATGTTCTCAAGTTAAATAATTATATAACATATAACCACACACAAGCATCATACTGCATCATTGTAAGTTGTCATACTACTGATCCAAACATAATTCTGCTCACAGGTGCAAAAAATAACTAACTACAAGAATTCATCTTTTAAACCATAAAAAGTAGTGCACAATGTTCTTAATCAAATAATTACTCCAACCGTATATATCATGTCACACTTACAGAAACATCCACACTTATAATGTCACCATCTTGTAAAGATCGACTGCAATGAAATAAACAAAATATCCTAACAGCTGTAATGAGTAGAGTTTTTACCAAATTTGGTTCCAACAAATCAGTTGTGTAACCAATGAGTAATTAAATTACACTAATCCTAGTCTTATTTAGCCCTACAGCAATTCTTTCAAATAACGATCGGTAGATCAGATCTTCCCTAGACTACATTGAACAAAATTTTGCAATCCTAGAGGTACTAAGTACTTCACCACTATATAAATCATGCCATATAAAAATTACCACTAAACCGTACCACAAAAATTAATTATTCCTTGTGTAGAAGCAGATTACCTGTCTGGTATACCATGTACAGCCACATTATTAACAGATGTACACACAGACTTGGGAAACTTTTTGTAGTTCAGAGGAGAGGGGTAGGCTCCAAATGAAATTGCAGCTTGGTGTACAATCTGGTCAATATCTTGTGTTGTAACACCTACCTTAAAAGAAGAAAAAATGAGATCAAACTGACTTAGCTCAAGGAGCTAAATATAATGTACAAGATTATTATGTGCATCATTGCATGTTACTCTTTTAAGTCTTCATGAACTCATAATTCATCTATGGAATTCAAGTGTGTAGGTCAATTCTATCAAAATCCTACAGTTCGGTGACTGAAGTGACTTCAGTATCACACATGATCGCAATGTCTTAAAATAAACGTTACCAACTAACACCCATTTTATTGTATACATGTTGTGTCAATGTTCCACTGAAAAATTAATTCCCTTCTGGCAATTAAGAATAATTCACCAATCTTTTTGAACTGCCTGAGCACTTGGATGAAAAGATGAAGGAAAAATTGAAATACATCAGATAAAAGTAGCAAAAAAATATTCTCACCTTGATACTATCTCTGGCCACATTGAGAACTTTCCTGGCTGTTCTGCATGCTGTTCTCATGAGAGCAATCTGCTTCTCTGTTTTAATTTCAGTGGAGTAAGGTGGGTCTGGCACTGTACCAGTGTCAGCATAAGGTGGACGTGTAATGTGCAGAGGAACATGGCCAGCAGGAGAAATTTTATACAGTTCTGTAAGTGCTTCCTTTGTATTGTTTGTTGACAAATTTCTGTCATAGTGTAACAAAACTGTGCTTAGCTAGTTAATTACTAGTTGTATGCTAAATGAATGTAATTTCAGACAGCTTGCTTTTTCTTAGTGAGGCAAAATACATGTTCATGTTTCTAAGGAATCTGCAATCACTTAACTCCAATACAATTTTAAATTGTTATTTCAAATATGAATTCATAGTTTCATGATCATTTCAGGGGTAGTCCAAGAAATTTGTTTTCTCCATGGTAAAGTTAGGGTTACAGTTCACACACAGTAAACTTATCTCATTTTCTTGATCATGGGACATAAATTAAGTTAAGAGTAAAAACCTAGTGTCTTGGAAGTGTACTCTTGCTGCATTGTAGTGATGAGTTTTAGCTAACAATCGATAAGTGCTTATTCAGAGGTGCCCAGATAGAGAGAAGAACTGTGAGAGGCTGATGAGAGTTAACTGTTGAAGGAGTATACAAAACCCTCATAATATATTGTACAACATGACATCTGACCTGCCGTTTAAATTAGTAATCCTCTTGTAAAGCTCTTCTTCTATGCCTGTGTAGATAACATTTATTTGATATTAAAGAAGCAAAAGACTTTGGATGTTGTAAAATGTTAGTCTTATATTTCACAATGGTGTTTTAGATAAATAGCAGATTGTTTCACACTAAAAGATCACTTAACCCTTGCTGTTTGCCAAGCTATCTAATTTGGAGTAGAGGCTGAACTCAAGACTTATGGTTATGAAAGAACTTCAAAGCAGTTTATCTGACTAAAAGACCTCTTCGTTGACTGCGTTGAAACTTACGTACCCGATCATTTTTCATAGTCCGTGGCAAATTTTTGCGCTTATATATTCCAAATTTAGTTGAAATAATTTGATCATAACCAGAAAAGGTCAATAGAAAATTGTACTTTAACCACTCTGAAGAGATTTTGAAGCTCATTGAAGTTCAGGTAAATGCAAATTACATCACTGCTTCTAGAATATTATATCTCAAAATCACATGTACGTAGAAAAAAAAACTATAAGACTTCCTTATTTACGTACTTACATTTAAGCCTCAACTGCTTGAGTTTGGCCCACATCACCCTCAGCGAAAATAATGGCGTACAAATCGTTGTTAGATCCATGCCCCCGCGACCAATAATCTATTCTTAGTTGACCTTGGGAGAGCTCAGTGAAATTATTGCATCATTAGTTACAGATATGAAAGGATTTATTGACGTTCATTTCTTTTTAGTTCCTTTTATGACGAAATATAATTATTTTCTTGCTGAATTATTCTACGGAAAGAAATCAAGACGATTGAAATTCGGGAATTCACTGCGCCAACCTGAAAAAAGTTCCTTCCTAATCTAATAATTTCTCGCGACCGTCATGGAGAAACTTTTGGATTTACTTCCACGATACGAAACCATGAAAATGTTACGAAAATTCAGTGAGACTTTCCTCCTTGTTCTCGATTAAGCGAAGTAGATGAATTGATTACTTAAATCGAGCATTTCACCTGAGGGAAGAATTTGAAATTTGCAAATACCATGATTAAACTTCTCCATGCTTGTACATCGTAAGCTCGTAGTTTTTTTTGCGCGCGTTTTATTCTGGGTCACTCTGTGTTATTCTGTGTCATTCTGTCGATTAAGTCGTCCTTTGGTGTACCTCAGTTATCTTTAAATTATTCTATACAGCTAATACGTATTCGACTCTATAAAAGAAACGAAACTTTTTTTTCTCTATTTCAGTGGATCCAGGGCCAAAGAAAAGAAAATGTGATAGTCCACTTGGTATATTCTAGTGAGCGAAACATCTCATTAGCTGCTTGGTTATATATAAAAAATTGTAAAACATTAAAATTTGAAGTGTTTGGTCCGACTATGACTCATCAATACCGGCCGGAGCAAAACGGATTAAATATAATTCAAGGGGTAATTGCAAAGGAAGCTCTCAATTACGTCAGAAGAATACTGCAATCGCGACGACAAATTGCGTTATCCTACAAACAAAAATTGATTTTAAAAAGCGACAGCTGACAGAAGAAAGGGAATAAGCATCAGACTGTATTTCTTTGATCGTTCTAATGTTCAAAATGGCCACAACTGGACTCCAGCGGGTTCCTCTTTCAATGAGAGGAATTGAAAATTGTTTTACTTTCGTCAAACCGATTTCTGAGGTCGATTTCTTGAGAGGTTTTTTGTGCGGAATTGCACAGCCACGGCGAACAGGGGTAAGTTATAGACTACTTACAGTGTTATAAGGGATAGCGATTAAGGTGAGAAAATAAATCATAGTTATCCAGGGGTTCTGCGAGTAAAATATGACGAAATAAAGCAAAAATATAAGGGATATTGGGTTCACATACATTACGCAAGGAAAAATTAACGAAAGGAGTATGTCACGAAAGGAGCACATACTCGCGAAAGTAATATTTTCCTCCGCCGGGGAAATGATTTCGTTTCTTCGTTCTCAGTAAACAGCCGTTATATTATGATTACCATGATGATTTTTACAATTATTATTATTATTACTATTATCATATTAAGTATTATTATTATTATTACCATTAGTAGGAACTTTTGTTACTTGCAGACTTCCTTGTTTTCCACAAATGCCATTCTAAATCAAAGTACATCAGAAGTCCAACAACCAACGCCAGTGGTAACCACTCCATCCAAGGAAACAGCCATCAGTCATTTTGGTAAAAATGGAAGCACAACTGGGGATGAAGCCTACAGAATGCCACACCCAGTCTGGTACGAGCCTCTAGACAACGTAATCTCACGATACTATCTATTACATCTATTGATATATCATTCAGAGTTCATAAAACTACGTGAGAAATTAAAGACTTCACTTACAAATTCAAGCTTTTTAAACTAGCTGTTTTTTGTTTTCATTTAGGACGGCAGAGGATGTCCGCAGCGTGAAAATTACTCACCAAAAACCACAAAAGTTTGTGGATGAGGTATTGTTTTTGTTCCTAGCGATCAGAAGTCATATGTTCTTGTAAGTTTCGAGACTGAAAGGTTATAAATTGAACGTCATGCCATGCAGCAAAATATGGCTTACCTGCCACGGTGCTTCAGAGCTTTTTATAATATGTCTACATAATCCCTACACATCCCAGGTTACGTTCGTTTAATTTTTACTAAGTTATTGGTTAGATGGTACTGTGGTGGAGAAATTTACTGGAAATCGTTCGTGTGTAATTTTGTATCTGTATTTTGTAGTCAGTTGAGTGATAATTCCATTTCATTCTTTCTCTTAACCTACAGCTTGCATACAAAAGTGTTCAGGCCTTGAGAGCAGCATTCGACATCATATCATTGTATCGCTTCATGGAGCTCGACGAAAACCGCTGGCTCAAGTAAGTTTGAGCTGGTTTTCCGACACTTTAGCCCCCCCACTTCGGTCTGTACAACCAGTAAACTGACCTGGGCCACGTCTTGATTCCAAAGCTGGCCGCAATTAAAGGTGGCGTAATTTTTGTAATTTGTCTCTAATTGGAAAAATACATCGTTGTACACGGAGGAAATCAGCGTGGCTAAGACTTTTTTGACTAGCTTCTTTTGAAGCTGGATTTTTTTTTTGTGGTACCGTTTACACAACATATCTGCTTAATTAAATCAACAGTCGGATCATTATGTTAGAGACAATAGCAGGAGTTCCTGGAATGATTGCTGGCATGACAAGACACTTCCACGCGCTTAGGAGGCTCCAGAGAGATAATGGATGGATACACACACTTCTGGGTAAGCGAACTTGAATTAAGGGTGCGCTGATTGTAAATTGAACTGTGGTGGCTTTCAACAGAATCACCTCGAAGTCAATTGATTTCTTTAATCTTTAGAGGAGGCTGAAAACGAGAGAATGCACTTGATGACAGCCCTGGAAATGAAGCAACCTGGGATTTTATTTCGGGGAGCAATTCTCCTAGCTCAAGGTACCTCATACTATTTATTTATACTCTACGTGAATCATTTTCACAGCCAATTTTGGATTCGTTATGTCATGATACTTTGAGCGTACTGCCGGTACAAGATTGTTACTGTACTCATTGGCTCTCAAGAATGATCAGTCCAGAAATTCACCCAACTTGCTTATAATACTTTCGAACAAATATCAAAGGAGAATAAAGACTTTTTAATTTTTATACCATCAAATGAAGTATATAAATACAAGAATCAAAAGTGACGAAGATGGAATAATCATTACGTGAATAATTCAAGATACTATCAACAAGAGGATGCAGAGGGTTCATTTAGGAGAATAGAAAGCTTTCCAATCTTGAAGGTAGGTGGCTTAAGCCTCAATGTCCCGTATGTGAAGGGACCAGGAAGTGCTTATGTACAGTTATACTAAGGATAAGAATAACTTGTTTCTCCTTCAGAATCGTTTTTTTTTTTTTTAAGCGCGTTTCTGAACATTTCCATGGCTTTATTTTCTTCAGGAACGTTTGTAAACCTGTTTTTCTTGGCCTACCTGATAAGCCCCAAGTTTTGCCACAGATTTGTTGGTTACCTGGAGGAGGAAGCTGTTAAAACGTATACTCATTGTATTGAGGTATCAGAGCACCCTGAAGATTGAGATTACCGTCTTTTCTAGTTGGCTTAGCCGGGTTGTAATTCGTATGTCTTCTAAATATTCCCCAGACTTCATCTTATCTTGACTCATTCATCTATGTTTGTAGTGTATCGACAGCGGTAAGTTGCCTCTGTGGGAAAATCTTTTGGCTCCCAAGATTGCTGTTAATTACTGGAAATTACCGGTAAGAGTTTTCCGCAAGTTAGAACAAAATATTTTTCAACCTGAAATGATAAAGGTTTTATATCCATCTTTTCTTTCTCCTTCTTGTTTTTGTTATTCATAGGAGGGTTCAAGGATGCGTGACGTCATTTTGGCCATTCGAGCTGACGAAGCTCATCACCGAGTTGTCAATCATACTCTTAGTTCCTTGCCGCTATGTGCACCAAACCCATTCCATCCCGGAGAAAAAAAGCTTTGAGGAGACTGAGGCCAAGAAATAGAACATAAATCGTTCAGATTTCAAGGAGCTGTCAGTGCCCTTCCTTATGTTCTCTCTTACTTACGTCTAATTTAATGTTTCACATACAGAGAAAGGATCGCAAAGACAGATAGGGGGATCAAAGTCTCCTTGTAACCAATGGAGGTGGATAAAATATAGGGTCTTTGTTTCAGTGTTTGTGTTAGGAATCGAAGAGGGAGAGCAGTAGGACTAAGCTGTCTTTAAGGGTGTCGTTCTCTACACTGGGAACGATGCTGCAATATTGTGTAAACCGAGTAATGTATTTTGTAACGTAGCTCATGTACTTATTTGAGCTATCTCTTTGTTAAAATTAACCATTTTTTTATTTCAATTCCTGAGCTTTGATTGGTTTACAGGCCAGGTTATACGAGTTCGTATTAAAAAATCTTTCTCGTGGAATAAATTGCTATTTCGTGCGGTCTTTCGCAGATCTTAGACATTTCTTTGGTTGTGTTATTAAATAAAACAATTATTCCCCTCTCAGACGTTGGAAAAGAGATTGGTTGTGGCAGGCGAGTCGAGGCGAAGGACATACCATCTCATTTCTTATACGTGCTGCTGGAGTAATGGTGAAAAGCGTTTCCTTTTCGCGCGTTTTCAAACAGCAGACCTTTTGAAAACTCCTCTGATTCAAAATTGGAGAAATACCAGATTTTCTTTTACAGAATCGTATGATTGATTTGGCAAGAGTTCACAGACGGTTGAAAAAAAGGAAAAGAGATGTTCCTTGGAAAAATACAACTACTTCGTAAATAAATAAATTTAATCGACAAACACATCGAAAAGGTCGATATTTCACAACAAAAACCTCCTCTACGTACAAGACTTTATCCACTTGTAAATAGATACTCTAAGTAATAACTCAATTGTGGGTACATTGTTTTTCGTTTCTTCATGGCCAGCCAGATTCCTTTGACTCCAATGAGTTCATGCATGGGAAGTTCTCGGGATTTTTTCAGATTTCTTCAACGATAATGTTTGTTAGATTTGCCAAGGGAGCACGTTTTTTCTGAGGAAAAGAAGAATTTTTGTAGATACTTAAAGCCAAACAAGCTCACTGAGAATAAAACATTCTCATCTCAAGCAAATATGAAAATCTAACATGTGCACTTACTGTTTTTCCCATGATAGGTAGAGTCGTGGTTCCTTTTGTCAAACTTCTCTTTTCTACAAGAAGAGACTTCACTTACTATCTGTGTACTCAGCATGTTCCTTACTTGTCCAATAGGATAGTCTCAATTTCATGTATTTATTTTTGTAAGCTTTAATATGTATGTGTACATTCTAGCTGAATTAAATAAATAAATGCTACTTGATTCACTTTGAAATGTGCTGCAAAACTAGTCAAAAGATATATTCAGCACAGTGCAAGCAAAAAATATAGATTCATTTTGGTTCAACCAACTTAAATTTAACTTTGACCAAACAGATCGGGGACATAGAAAAATAAAAGATTTGATGAGATGGATTTAATCATCATTTTCTGGTGGTTTATTTTTTAGGCTGCAATGCTTGATAGTAGATCGAAGTACTTGTTGGAACAAAAAAACTTCCTAACTTACTTTTTCGTGTTGTGTTTATTTGGATTGCATCACCAAACAATCTGCTGTCAGTAAAAGGGTCTCCTCTACGCAATTTGCTGTTGACATAAAACCAAAGAAAAATTCAAAGAGACATCTCTCGTAAACAGAAGTCAGTTCAACACTGCATACCATGTCTTGTCAATCAAATCCTGGTAAATCAACCTACAAACATGACTCTGAATGATAAAATTTTTACAGGACTCCCTAACATGACAAAGACATCATTTAAAATGACCATACTGTAGAGTTCAAAATTACATGAAGAACAAGCATACACATGCATAGGAAACAAGACATGGAAGAAGTAATGTCTTTTACAACCTAACCTAAGAGGCCAACATTCCCTGTGCTTAGTAATTTGCTTTCCATTGCCAAAGGCACCTTAGAGTATGGCTTTACCACTCCCCCATTATAGAGAGTTATTAAGGTTGTACATTTAATACCTGCGAAGTCCTGGCTCTACATAACTGACACCTGTGGTACTTTTTCTCTTCATGTGGCATCTAGCAGGCTGAGGCTGGCTGGATTCCTTCCTTGTTTCATTTTGGTCCACCATGTTACTCAGAATTCCTTTTTCCAAATAAATGGGCAGAGCATTTTCAAAACATGTCCTTAAAATGAAGTAATTTATTTTCATTTGAATATTAATACATATTAATCAGAAATTACATTTCAGAATATTATTATTTGAGTGACACTAGAAATTAAAAATTTCTAAATCTGCTAGTGACCTTACTCTAAAATTCACCAACAATTCATCCCGTCAGGAAGCCTTACTGTAAGTGTGAGTCAGAATCTTCAATATTTTAGGACCTTATATCAAATTAATTCGGTCTATTTCTCTGTTTCCATCAAAACTGTGTTAAACCAGATTTCCAAACTCCCCCAAAAAGATGTAAAAAACATTCAACTGTTGAAGGTATTTTTGATATTTTTCTCCATTATCTGGAATGTGGTCAAGCGTTGTTTCTCACACCAGACTTAGATAACTTACCACAAACTTACCTCTGTCCAAGTTTTTCATGAAAACCTCATTGTTCTCAATAATGGTTGATTGTATATCTGTGATCTCCATTGCTGATGGTTCATCTGGTGGAGGAGTGGTACACACACAGTTTGAGACAGGGTCCATATAAGGAGACACACTGTTTGATACTACATGAATAGTTTCATGCTTGTGTCCTTCAGCAGGAGCAAGGAGAGAGCTAAGAAGATGAAGGGCTTCTGACAAAAAGTTTGAACCTTGAACAAACTTGCCACATGTCTGGTTCAGGAGATTATGGACTTCTTTAATTCCAGCCTACATAAAATAAATAGAGCAGCCATAAACAATCAAGTTACCTTATTATGTAAATAGTCTGATCATACCTACATATCTATATAAAGTTGCAAGATTTTAGAAATAATTCTAAGCATTTTAGTCTTAAAAGAATAGCAGCAATCTATATGAATATTTAAAAAATTATTCTCAGGGCCCCTTTAACTAGTTAGTTGCTAGTAAAACTAGTGAGCTATGAGAAGAAATACTGTGGAATTGTAAAATGTTCACCCTGCAGTTTCATAAGAACCCTAACCATTCAAACCAAAAAGGGCTTACATGTCCCAAGAAAAAGTATAACTTTAACTCAGGTTTTCAAACCCTCCATTCACACTGGTCCCTTTTCCCAGAATTTAAAAAATCTGGATTTGACAGCTCTTATATCAGCTTCATGAACTTGAATGAAGAGCTACAGCAAAGAACTAGTTTTATGCTTTCTTGATAGTTAACACATGACTAGACAAAATTTTAATGGACCACACCTCTGCTTTTGATGCAAAATCATTTTCTGAGATCTTCTCATGGGAATTCAATTGTTGTTCTAATGCTTTTGTTTTCTCCACAAATTCTAAATGACTGTTATAGATTTTCTTTTTAAGCTGGACATTTTCATGCTGAACAAGGCAAAGTTCTTGCTGGGCATCCTCTGAAAACAAAGTTTAACATCTTTGATAATACTGATAAAGGAAAACCTCAAATTAAACTTGATTCTTCATAGCTGACAAGTTTCATAGACAAGAATAAATTCAACAAGACTTTACCAAGAGCTGCCGCCAGGGCTTTGTTGTTTGCTTTAAGTGTGGTATATGTGGACAGTTTAGACACATCTGAAGAAAATATAACAATTTTTTTAAAATAAAGTAAGCATGAATCTGAACCCAAGGCATCAAAAAGTCTATTAATCTTACTTGTCACTGATGGTTCCACTTCCATGTTCTCTTGGTCTTGTTTTTTGTCCTGTTCCGTGAGGTTGGTCCTCTGTCTTTGGAGATTCACACTCGTTCTCCTTTTCTGATATGTTTGATGGTGTTAGTAATTTAATCGAGAAACGATCACTATACAAGATCTACAAATACTCAAGGTATCGACTTAAGTTTAGCTTATACATGTGTTGACAAGCCTATCCAGAGGTAAACGGTATGTAGATGAGAAAATTCAATTCTATTTTAGAACACCTTCAATCTTCTTCTTCCCTTTTTACTCTCCATTCTTGCTCTCTTGTCCCTCTTTAATAACAACAATCCTTGTAGTCAGACATTAATCTAACTGTCTCCCTCTAAACTTTTCAAATGTCAATGCACCATTTCCTGTTTGATAGCCTCGTTTCCACGAACATTGCAAATTTCCGGTTTAAGCGGAAGTTAGACCCGCTAGCAACCAGACATTGGACACTTGGTAAAATATGCACTCCCCAAGACAAAAATTTTTATCCGTAAAAATCAATCAGGCTTCTCTAAAAACCTTAAGGATGTCATGAAGAGCGCAGATCAAACAGTGCTTATTCTTCGAAGGAAGGTGACCTGAATTACTCTACACACATCCACTCAGCCTGAATGTCACGAGTCTTCCAAGTTAGTGTTTTCCTTCAGTTCACAGGTCGAAAAAAAAACTATATGAAGCGAACGGGATTTGTAAAGAATTGTACAACGTTGCTTTGACAATATCACGTTTGATTTCGTGGTTGCTTGATGAACTTGCGATGAAATTTGAATAACACGACATTTTTCAGTAGGCCCACCCAACTGAGATATTTTAAACCTCGCATAAACTTTTGCTGTGACGTTATGATAGACACGAAAACAGACAAAAGTGGCCTTGGTTTTCCACGAAAACAGAATTGCAAAGAAATTTGAGCGAGTAAAAATATGGCGGCCCTTGCGAGAGGCAAGCGTTTTAGACTACTAGTGGTTCAGTTGGATTTTAAAAGAATGAGTTGCCATCTGCGCTTTAGTCAAAAAAAACAAACAAACAAAAAATCAGTCAGCAAGATTTATTTATGCGTAACAAAACTTGTTCTCCGTCTAAAATTATTCAACCAGTTTTATATACAGTAGATGATAACGGTTATGATCGTGATTATAAACCAAAGGATGTCGAATAGGGTTGTTTCCCTCACTGGTGAAGCCAAAGATACAGTCTGGGGAGGGAGAATTAGCAAGATATCGCTGAGATGAACTTTTGTAAGAGGAAAATCAAGAGAGCAGGCAGAGGATAATACAAAATTCTTCTTGAGGCTGACAAATGGCACTAAAACGTGACCGTAGTGGCTCGTGTTCGACCAAGTGGCTCAAGAATAGAAATGATACGTGCTGAAATAGAAAATGATGGATATGGTGGAAATAAATCGACACCATACTGTATTCTCAGAAATTTAGATTTCTTCGAATTCCGAAATACATAAATGCGTGTTTGATCCAGTTCTTTACAGGAATGTTCCTTCCTGAGGTATCGATTTCATGTTTTCTAAATGTGAAAGGGTACACTCTCCTTATGCTTAAAATAAAACACTACATTCCAATTCTAATCTATCTCATGTTGTGATGATAACTGAAATGAAAGGAAATTATTGGGAGTGCCCAGTAACTGATTTTTCTTGGTTGCAAAACAATTTAAATCGTGATTTTAAATAGAGTGATTGAGCTTTAATGAATGTTGTGAGTTCTAAATGGTAATGAAGTAAATTAAAGAAGGCAGTCGACGCCACCTACTGTAATGATATGCATTTCAGAGAGAGCGGCTTTCACGGCTTGATCATTTGCATAACTTATTAAACTTATTGCGCAAACCGAAAGGTAATTGGTTCCTGCTTCACCCAGTGACGCTGGCAGACAATAATAGCGGTGTACATATATGATAATTTTCGACACTTCACAAACCTGGTGTTGCAATCTCGCAAGTTCTTCTCGTGTTCTGAGGATCAGGAAAATTCTGCCAATGCAATCAAGAACCTTAGAAAATTGAGAGCAACCGAGTGGCTGGCAAGCTAGCGATTGACGGTCGCTTGTGGACTTCCGTCTCTGCTGGTTCGATTCCAGCTCATGCCACGGCGCGACTTAATACATATCAGAATCTACTGTATTAGAGCGGTTTAATAACTCTCCGCCTCACCAAACGAGAAGAAAATTACACTAAATGTCTGCGCTGAGTGGTTAATTGAACACAGAAGAGCCCGACAATGGCAAACTTGGCCGGACAGGCAGCGAATTTTGAGGTAAACAATGCATAAATCTTTTGCCGTTCATTTCTCAATGCTGAATTGTATTTCGATTACTGCGTGAAGAAGGTACACAATGTGTTCAAATGCCTTAAAACGGAAAATCTGTGGGGAGCTACTTTGCCAACAGCCACTTTCCTGTCTCCACGAACGTTTGTCAATGAAATGCAATAGAATAGAAAAACCTTCAATAACTAACCAGAGTAGGCATCCTGTTGAGGAATATTAACCGTACGGGACTTGCTTGTCAGTGTGGATTATAACAGCCCGTATAACACCCGAGATCAAAATCTTCCCCTTTAAATGGATCCCTTATCTCGATTATGTGCGGCTGAGCTCACCAAAAGAAAAAAAATTGGTTTACGAGAGATTATAAGGCCCATTCCACGGTTTGAATAAAATATGAAGGAAAGTTATTCACTGTGGGCTGAAATTGCATCCCCGATCCATTGTTTATCTGAGTTAATTGCATGAAAGGAGAAAAACTTTATTCATCTCTTCAGACAAGTCATTTCCAAATTCCAGAGACCCTGTTAGAAATGTTTGATTACGCTAATGAGCAAGATAGGACACGTCTTTGTTCTGTTAATCTATCTCAAGCTTCATGAGAAATTGATGTTTTCAAAGCAAATCAGTTTGTTCAATTTATTTATACACTGCACATGCGTATGGACCATTATAAATGTTCTAACTACGGTTTGCAAAAAAATTGGGTACAAATTTACCGTTTGTGAAGAAAAGAACGTGACGGCACCCAGAGGGGACCCAAACGCGTGATCGTATACCAAAGATTAACATTCGTGAACCAGGGGATGCTACTAATGAGACGAGAGATCTAATTCTATTTAGGGCGTTTACTTTCTTTCAGCGTTACGGAAAACATTTCGAAGAGAGAGAAAGTCAGAATGGTGAAAAAGTGTAAAGATTTCGCTACGATACAAGCATATTGCTTGTGGTGAGCCCGCGGTCTTTCGGGAAGCGGCACAAATCGACCCACACCGAGCGATCAAAGGACATTGAACCCCTCTGGACAAAAAAAAATTTGCTTTAAAAACGTGACCTTTCTATAATCCTATAAGTTGGTTGTTAGCCAAATGGAGGAGTGGCGGTCAGTTAGAGGCAATATAACGCTAACAGCACTCTTTTTTTTCAGTTCATCTCTATCCATGTTCGTAATCCTCGAACCCATTTGTTGCGCAGATGGCCTGTTTATACAGACTTCGAGATCGTAGTTCTGGTGGGTGAAAGTGTTATTTTTGGAAACTTACCGTAAAATTCCGGTTCTTAGCTTTTGGTGGGCACATATCCGTGTGGGCGTGGGTGGGGAGCAGCCGAATAAGTCGACCTTTATGAAACGAACTGATCACGAAATCTTCCTTATTTTAGCAAGGAATAAATCAAGATTCGATCTCAACTCTACTTAAAAATTTCAAGCAAAGTTTTCAAACCAACTTAGTAAACAAAGAGATAGTGAAAACATGAAAACATCATATTGTTTTTCCTCGTTACCTGTTTAAAGTGTTTTGAAAATATTATAATGGTAGCAGAGGGGAAGGGCATGATCAAGAGAGAAGAGGAAAAGTTAGAGAGTTTGATCAAGAACTCCCTTCCCCCACCCTTCCTGCGCCTCTTTAATTTGCTTTGAATGTTCGGGCGTGTTTTTCTGAATCCTTGTGATTAGGTTGGACCCGAAAATAGTGAATATACATTAAAAATAATTGATCTGTAGTAACTTACCTGCTCATTCACAGACCAACAGTATGATCTTTGCTAAGCAAAATACTCAAGTTAGAAGACGTTTCTCGGAGTTTATTTGGTTATGGAAACATTTATCAAGACATACCTCACTGACACTGTAAGTTAGAAACCTTTACAACCATGCATTTAAGAGTCATTGATTGTTTTCATTATTGTCATTAAGTAGCACTCATGCCTCCTTGAGATACTCAAAGTTTTGTATGAGCACTCAAATGGAGCAACAAATAGAACTCGCTGGCGTTGTGCGTTAAGTTGCTCCTACTGGTTTTAGAATTGTTGGCCGAAATATTAACAAGTTCCTGTAGGAAATAAGAATTTAGCGTCCAAACCGCGGAGATTGCATCAGCTTGATAGCGACTTGTCTGGTTGCCAAGACACCTTCCTTCCTTTGTTTCATGGATCAAAATAAATTTGCATACTGTAAACGACCGTCCATTTAAATCAATTTCATTCAAGAAACATTCAGCCTTCAATGCTTGCTTCCTATAAGGTACACGCACTATCAGCTGGACCATTCGTTTAGCTTTATTTTTAGAGGCGGTGGCTGAGATGTACTTAACCACGTACCGTTTCATACATGATTGATTGAAGATCGATTTATGCTTTGGTTACTTTCAGGAAACTACCTCCGTTGCCAACGAGGAGAAAAGTCTTTGGTCGATTTAGCAAAGGATTTTTAGAGGAACGTCGAAGTGGTCTACAGGAGGCTTTGGCCAGGTAAGATCCAGTCCATCTTTTGCCATCACTAACCCGACCTGCCCTGTCCTGTTCCTCATGTTAATAAATGCTCGAAACTGACCAACCCACGCGCTGTCCCGCGTCAGAATAACACGGTGCGACTTTTGAAGTTTTTCCCCGATGACAGGGCTGGATATTTTTCCATTAGTAATTTTCCAGCCTGGTTACTGAGAAAAAAAAAATCGACATTTCGGAAAGGGTTTGCACGCCATCCCAAACGAAAAAAATTGAATTTTTTTTTGTAGCTTTGTGATCAACTCAGTTGAGTGAGATCTCTGAACCCGAGTTGGATATAAATAGGCCCTTGGATCCTGGTACTACGTTATCTAGCCATATCCTTTAATTATTTTTTGTTCGTTTTGTTCCTCCTTTTTTTTGCGGAAAATATTCGATCGTATCCAAGAGAGCAGATCAACTTGTTGAATGAGAACACCTCTTTTATCTATTTGCTCACGTTAGAGTTAATTACGGGACAAAAATATCATTTCTAATCAAGTTTATTTTAGATTTCGCCATCTTTTCGCACCAACTATTCTCTGTGGCAGCTTGGATGATGAAACAAGTCACTCAGTAGAATCGCACGTGAACAACACGGCTTTAATCCTGAGCCTTTTTGTGACAAGAAGGCAATTGTATAAAACAGTCCAAAGTACAACTCAGAACAGAAGCTTTTCCTTTGTTGCATTCACTAATGGTATTTTCTGCATATTTTGATGAAAAATCAGTATTTTAAAGCTTCTGGAAGGAAACCGCTTCCTAGATCAACGTTTTTTGCCTTGGCGTAGTCACACCTTTAACCCTCTCTTACGTCATTTTGAAAATTAAAAGTATACGTGTAAATAGTGTATATCTGAGTAAATATGTTTCACAAGAGCAGAAACGTGATGCAAATTTCATTAGTTTGAAGTTTGCAAATTTACTACCTGGTGGCCTTGTTACATATTATGATATATTTGCAGTTTGTAAATTTGATTTCTGTGCCAAACATTAGCCTTGTTGAAGAGTAATTTGAAAATATGAGATGAATTAGGTTGCACCGGTTTTTTGCATTTGTTTTCCCAGCATGTTTGCTCGAATTTGAACGCATAAACCAGATTGACCTGAATTTTGGTTTTTGTTTTCCAGTCTATCGCGAATCACCCCAATTCTCGCGGACTCCGTATTTCATCTGTTTATCCAAAGTAACTTAACAAGAAAAGAGATGGAGAACTTTATCAGCGGAAGAGATAAGAGAGATCTTGTCGACATCATTGACCCTACAGGGGAATGTCAACGATACAAAGACAGAAGATGTACATGTCATTCAACAGTGGACAGCGGTTATTCGGGTAGTGTTCAGCCAGATGAAGAAAGTCGAGGAATATCGGATGGTAAGTTCCCATTATTTACTAGGCTTAGAAAATGGTTGTTATGAATAGAAAAATACGTCATTCCTGCTCTCAAAAAGATCCTTTTGATAATTCCTCTCTGCTTAATAAGTTTGCTTTGATCCCAGTGTTGTTTGAGTTTGCTTTCTCGTTGTTTTCGCATATATTTATGGAGTGTTAATTCCTTCTATGGT